CGATCTTGAACATTTGGAACCCAATCTCTGCATTCGATGACCTCGAATATATCTTCGAGATGGGTACATGGGCAACCTTATAAAAGGTGCATGAAGGGGATGCTAGAAAGCATCCACAACTTAAGCCTCCACAGGTGTACTGGCATCCAGAATATCCTGGGTACTTTCTTGCTCTAGGACAGCTCGGAGACGGTTTCGTTACGGCGAGTTTGATCGCATACGTTTCCGTGGCAGGAACCCGCCTGAGCACATCTAACGAGTAAACTCTAGCTCTGTGCTTTTGGTGGAGAATTTTGAGATTTTCGAGTTTGAGCAGACCTATCAGTTTTGTTCTGCAAACGCATTTCTATGCAATGTTGTGTTTGTATTCTATTAAACAGCAGTTCTCTGCTGAATTCATAACTGCAAACAGCATCCTGGTTGCAGACTATGTCAGTCGCATGCCTTGTGAAACCATGCTGGCACGCTGTTGCCCCCGGGATTGTCGCTGCTACTGTTAGGCACAAGGCAATAAGCGCCCCACCGCTAAGAGGTGTTGCGCTCCAGAAATGGGGTGTTGCGCTTCAGCGTGCGATGTGCTGTTGCAGTTTACTTGGATTTGAGCTGGGGGTTGCGTGTGCTTCGGCCTGATGAGTGATATGAGCAGCCAGATGGGCATGATGATGATAAGCATTGCGATATAGGCAATTATTGCTACGCTCAAAACAGCACCCACCGGCCAGCAGTGAGGATTCCCCAATAATGATGGGCTTAGTAGCAGATTGGATTTTGAGCAAAAATCCGGATTAGCGCATGTAGTGGAGAAGGTGGTAAGGCTTCGTTTTGAAAGTACTTGATGGTAACATCGGTTACATTGCGCAAGGGGGAAGCAAACAACTTGTAGGTTTCGCTAATGCCATCGCCTTCAAACTTACGACACTCTTCATTGAAACATAGATCGTAGGGAATTGTTCTTTCCAACAATTTCAACTATACCGTTATGACATGTTGGATAGATAGATGACTGTGTTATAAAA